ATGCTACAGGATTCACTGCTGGTCATTTTGTCTTGTTACAACAATGGTACTTGCCTGGACAGGTAAGCAGTGAAATCTTACTCAAATTACATTTAATTTAAACCATACCAATTTCACCTAACACTCACTTCATTTATTTATTTTATTGTTTGTTTATATATTTGTATATTTATCCTTCCATCCATCCATGTGCATATCACTCCTGGTAATAGTCTTTTCTGGGACACTTAACTAAATTCCTGGGCAGTGTTCATGTAGTATTCAACAATTATTTGACAATTATTAATTTCCCTGCAGTTTGGTTCCTTATCGGTTAATATAAAATCAGATGGTTCATCTATGTTGATTGTATCGCAGCCTGGTTGTAACTATGTAGAACTGGTGTGTGTTTGGAAAGAAGATGTTAAAGATAACAAGTAAGTGACAGATTTTGGAAATTCTCAATTCCAAATGTCTAGATTTGACGTGTTCCTAAAATGTGACCTTTGATTGGTTGCAGAGATCAAAATGAGCAGCATGTGATATATCATCCAATATCCACAACAAGAGCAAGAAATCCAGGTGTCTCCACAGAAATAGTCGGTCACATATCAAGAGGTAGGTTTCACCCCTTATGCATATATAATGTAATAATCAAGGTACTATGTAATAACTCAAGTACCGTGAAATAATTTGTGTTACGTTTACTAATTTTGTATCTACATTACATTTGTCATGAGGGAGTAGGAGAGGATCAGTCTCATATCATTAGATAAAGGGAAAGGTATATACATGTATGAGAGAAATTGTCTGTTCCCATTCATTGTTTGAGGTTACTCAGGCGATTCTTTTCAGTCATCTTCAATTCTTGTTACGTTACTCTATAAGGGACCTTGAGATCAATGTAGTATATGTAATATTAATAATTACTTATTTGTTATCATCTAGATTCTCAATAGACATTATAATTATTTTGTTATATTTTTAAATATCAGGTACTGAATCTGGTAAAGATAATCTCTATGCTCTATGTACACTTGATGGTGAGTATTACCTTCCTACACTCCATTATATCATATGTATTTTAAGGCAGTTTGAGTCAGGCAATTTTGCACTACTGAGCATATTACTGCAAATATGTGCAATGCATTATGGGAGATAACCCCCTGTGGTGTATAAACTGGTTGCTATGTTAACTACATATTTCACAATTTTAGATGTATTATGGTTTTGAAAGTTAAGTTATGCTTGAACTGTACTGTGTATTTGTACAATATGAATTGTGATCTCATTTCAGGCACTTTGATGTTAGTGGCTGATGATAAAATACAGTGGTCTCACTTAGTGGATCATCAATTATTTGCGCTTTCAAAGCTGGATATAACAGTAAGTATGTCGTGCTACTATGTCAATGTCTTGAACTTCTCAGGTTATGCCATAATATAAACTAGATTTGATGATTTTATTTTGACCCCAGATGCAACTTGATAAGTCTTGTCTGTTTCTAGGGTGATGGTAAAGAAGAAGTGATAGCATGTGCGTGGGATGGTCAAACTTACATTGTCGATCACAATAAGCATTCTGTGAGGTTCCACTTTGAGGAAAATGTCAGTGCATTTTGTGCTGGTGAGTAACCCTGAAATCATTGTTGTAAGTTTATTCCAAGATGTGACTTCTAATTAAGGTACACACCTACACCAAAATAAACATACCCAGAATGTATTTACACATGTATGCTACCGGGTAGTATACGCATATACGATACTATATTTCAGTTTTCAGGTTTATTTAGGCTATATTCTGGTCTTTTGGTAAGCCGTGCCTAAATTGTAATAATAACATGTAGCAGATAACATATTTTTCTTGTCTAAACAACATATAAGTACTTATAATTTCTATTTGGTATATGATAAACATTTCTCACAGTAGCACATCGACATTTGTCACTTCCTGAGGATGTAGGTTCCTTTGCCAAAAAAATCCTAAAAGCATTTTTATATTTGTTCCTCTGGCACAGATACATTTTTAGTCTCCATTCAAATGCATCTGTGCATGCATCCACATCCACCCATTTACAATGACTGGTGTGTTATTTGTTACGTAACTTTAGTGACCTTAAACTGCTGATTCACTGAAGACAGTTTTCTTTCTAGTTGAACACTTCAAAAGTTATAATATGATTTGCAAAAAAATAATCTGGAATAGGTTAAAAATTTAATTGGGCAATGACCTGTCACAATAATCTTTAATTCAATTTATTACAGGTTATTATGGTGTTGATGGCCATAACAATGCTACATTAGTATACGCTACTTTCAAAAACCGTATATATTTATATTGGAATGTGCAATTACCCATGATTCCTTCATCTTCCCTTTTGGATGTGATGGCCAAAGATGAAAGTGTGCAGCGATACTTGAATGATTTGGACATTGATTGTAAGTTATGTATGATATGTAGAGAATGTTTTCTTGCATGGTGATTATGTCTACAATTGCCACCATGCTATAAATGTGATTCAGTAGGTCAGATTATATGACGATACACTGATTGCTAGATTTCCTGATGCTCTGGTTGTTATCATCACTAGATTTGTATTACTATGTGGCTGAACTTTTAATGTAAAATGTATCATAGTAGATGATAGGGGCTTTCTAGTGATTGATTGGAACTTTAGGCAGTGTTTTTGGTGATCGCGACCAGATCAAAACTCGCATTCATTCTTGTCACTGTGAGAGAACATTAGGTTGTGGGAGAGTCACTGTTTATCAACAAAAATCTCACAAATGCATGGCA